GCGCCGGGGGGAGGGGGGGGGGGTACTCTTAACTTTAGTTCCTTATTATTTTTGTATGTTCATTGCTATGTATCTGTATAAACATGCTTCGACCATTGTTGTCAATTGGCCGGCAAACGGACTGCATATTTCTAGCCATGCAGAATAAGCGGATGAGATGATGTCCATTCATTGGTGGCACAAAATCAATTTCCCTTTCCAACTAATAGTACATACATTAAGAAAATTACTGCAGTTGGCAGCTCTTCACTGCATGTTTTCAAATGTTTTGTGCGCTTGTCTCATTGAGTCACTTCCGAGGTTGCTACAGCATGCTAAGTAAGCATCCAAATATTTATTTTTTGTTTCATCATCTCATGGAAAATGAATCTCCTTCACACATGACATGTTTTTAATAGCAATACGCAAATATTACTTTATAGATGTTCTTCTGAGTTCTGTTATGTGCAGGCTTATGCCAGAGTCTAGCTCTTACAGCCCCAAAGATAAATAAACTCACCAGAGTCTAGCTCTTACATAGAAATCGACACATATTTTTAGGTGACCATGTATTTATTTAGTTAATCGAAGCAAATCTAGCGCTCCTTGGTCAATTACAATTTAGCTGGGAATTTCGCTCTACAATGTTTTTATATAGGTTGTCAATTAGACTCAATCTTGGATGAATTATACTATGACAAAGGCATTTAAAACTTGTTTCGCATTGGATTGCTGGAGACGTGCAAGGGCAGCGCTAGGGAAATATTAAAATGATTGCACAACATGTGATTGTTTGAAGCAACAAATTGCTAAATGGGTTTGTCCTCATAATGACATATATTCTCATGCAGGATGGTGGGAACTAAGAAAACAATTATTAGTACACATGCTTAAGTACAACCAGAGTGAAGCTAGAGTTTACATTTTTCTGAATTTGTACAACTTAGAAATGGTTAGGTGTATTAGGAAGTAGATTTCCTAAATTATAACTTCATCTTAAGTAGAAATCCATTGAGTACTAATGTCAAACTATCTTCTCTATATAAGTGAAGTTTCACAGCCGCTATTTTTTGGTTATTTTTTCCTTTGTTGATGAAGGCACCCAGATGTTCGTACATTATTTTATGAACCAGCTTTATATTGTCTTGTTTTTATTATCGGTATTTGGTTATTGTCGATATTCACCCATTTTGATCATTGCAATAATATGTATTCCGTTGCAACGCACGGGCAATTTTACTAGTTGTACTTTAAAAAATATTGTTCTCTCAGTCTAAAATTAGATAACGCTCAAACGGATATATCTAGTCGAGGGAGGAAGTAGTAGCTTAATACTATAAACTAATATAAAACCGTTTAAACCACTACTGAGTGCGATATAAAATTTATGCACCATTGCATCATGGCGTGCTAGTGTACTACACAACCATGTAACTTTTTTTTAGGGTAACCACCACGTAAACTGGAATTTCGCTGAGCTAAAATACAATATATTGATCCATGATAGTATTAGTTGTCTTGCTTTGTTTGCTCGCTTTTGGATAAGAATCGATCAAATCAGTATATACAGGAAAGGCTGTAACAGTTGACTTAGCCGCGGTGCAACCAACCATGTGCATCGGAAGCCATGCTCCGCTTTAATTTTGTATTTTTCTTTATTTTCCACAGACATTTCCTTGTCAACTCATTTTGTGTGTAACATCAGCTAACAATAAACGTGTACATGCGTGCGTGCGCTCCTTGTTTCTTGCACCTTGGCGTAGTTCACAAGGAAATTGACTCTTGAACATTACTCTTCCTGGTCTTTTTAATCTGTATATAAGTTTTGTCCGAAGTCAAAGTATCTCTATCTTGATCAAACTTATAAAAAATTTATCAACATTCACAATGCCAAATTAATATTGTTAGATTCATTGTGAAATGTGGTTTCATAGTATATATATTTTCTATTGTAGATGTTGATATTTGATATTTTTTAATATAAATTTGGTCAGGTTTTCTAAAATCTGATTTGACAAAAATCTAATACACAGAGTAAAACGGACCGAAGGAGTGCTGGAATATATATAATCATGACTTTTGGCCAAGCTAGGATCTAGAATTTTTTCGTGCATTGATAAAGTGGTCGACACGGCTGGTACACAGACTAAGGGCTGCTCGATCAGTGTGTGCGTGCGCGTTTTTCATAAGCCCGAGTGGTGGCTCAATATCATGTTGTGGGGTGTCTGACTCTGCTGGCTTGGATGACTGAGTTGTTTTGACTCATTTAGTGCACAGCCTCAGGGCTGATCTGATTAACTCGGTTATGTTGGTTTTTGTTTAGTTTTCTTTACAAACTAGGACAATGCCCGTGCGTTACAATGAGATATAAATATTCTACTCCCTTTGTTCCTTTATTAAGATGTATTTTTTCGAGCGCGGTGACCAAGGCACAAAAATTAAGAGAATTTTGGACGAAAACACCATTAACTAATTAGGTAGGTAGCAGATTAACGCAGCAACTAAATAAGGTTCCATGTTTTATATGAAGTAGAGAAGATACTAGTCAATCCCTTTTTTTGTATGAAAAGACGGAGCTTCTTTCAGTTGCTTGAAAGAAAGAACTTGATCGATCATAGCACCTATTCTCGAAGTGCGCGGGGATCAAGGAGTCGCCGTTAGTACCGCGGGAATGAGGAGCACGCCACATTATTGATGGGACGTGGCCTAAGTGGGATTCCAACGCACACTCACAAGTCATGTTGAGCAGCGGTCCGTTCTTACACGTGGTCTGATTCAATCAGTTGGGGAGCCTGATCCGGTCTGACTAAGACAAGACTGGGCTCGTAATTTTCAAAGGTGCTTCCCGAGAGTTCAACTTGCGGGGGCCGGCTGCGCAGGAAGCTCTCTTGCGTAGGTCGGCTATCTTCATCAACAAATCAAGACTGGGGTGGTTCCTTTGGCTTTGCGAGCAAGCCGACCATAGGTGGTGGGCGATAATCATTCACTTTCAAGGGAGCTACAAAGAACCAGTTTAAACCTCGGCAAGTGATAAGATAACGTTGAAGATTGGTGCCGATTAGGATGCAACCAAGCTTAAAGACCGGTTCGGGAGCTACTGGTGGTGTAACGGCTCAGGGCTGCCTCACCTCTTTGGTTGTCGCCCCAAGTAGGCCGACCCAAGGTCCCTTAGGTCCGTTTCTGCCCCCACGCCATCATGCTAGCCCATGGGCTCTAGAGAAGGAAGACTGGAGGCTTTGTTGTTCCAGACGAGGAAGCCGAGACGGTAAAGGACTCACCTCCATCAACGTAGCTCACTAGGTTCATGTAACCCTAGAGGGCGGTATCTTATATAAGACAGGGTCAAACTAGTCGATAGGGAGAACATTATAAGTTAGAATATCTCCGTACTTTGTACACCCCCACTGCAATGTACAACACGAGCGGGAATAGTGTTTTACCTCATAAGGAGGGCATAAACATGGATAAGTGGTTGTTGGTTGCTCCTCTCAACCAGTTTGGTGGCTCCTCCATGATCCTTCGGAGTGACGAATTCTTACCTTACTAGACGGTGATGGGCGTGAAGGAGTCTCGACCTGCAAAGGGCTGAACACCTTGTGGGCAACGATGGAGACGGGTGTGCACGAGTCGTGGCGAAGGGCACCATCCTTGGCCCGTTCATGCAGGAGGTCTGTCAAAGCCCGCATCCTCCGGCGGTGACTATGAGGTAGAGGTGGTATGCTGAAGGCTGCCGGCGACCCTGGGTAAGTAGGCTTTGTAGTACTCAGACGACACCGAAAAACGGTCACAATGCCGGTAAGAGTGGGCGTTGGTGGATGCGACGGCGGTGGTCCGGTCGATGGAAGCGGCGATGGTGGAGAGGCCGAAATTGGATGAGGGTGACGAGGACAACAAGGTCAGGTGTGGAAGGGGGTAATGACCGTTGTGTCACAGATAAGCCAGGGGAGGACAAAGAAAGGAAGTCGTGGGCTTTCGCTCGATGTCGATCAGTTCCTTTATATCGGCGCGTTAGACAGTATTTTTTGGCTACGCAAATTTAAATGGACACAATAAAATGGGTCGATAAGTTGGAGTCGGCGGACCCCTGCTTGCATCGTCAAAATATCTCGATCGGAATACTAACGCCGTGACCGCTTTACTCTGCCCCGCCATCTCCCCGTTATTCTCCACCCCCAAACCCGCCGAAACCCCAAATCGCGCGACCTCTTCAAGAAATCCATGGGTGGCGGCAGCGGCGACCTCAGCCCCACCGGCATCCCCGCCTCCCCTTCTTCGTCCTCATCGGAGTCCCTTCCTCGAGGTGATTCGCTCTGCCAGTAACCGATTGATCCCAATTTCTATCTGGTAGTACGATCGGTTCTGTTTCTTGACCTTTTTGGGCATGGACCGCTTAATTATGTGGTGACAGAGTTTGCCGATTATGTGCCGGTCTCTGACGGCGACTCCGAAGGGGGCTGCATCTGCGACGACCCCGAGGTGGAAGCCCTTCTCTACGGCAGCCAATTTCAGCACCGGTCGCTGCGGGAGGCGAAAGACCTCATCAGGAGGTAGCGTAGCCCTTGTAATTTGTTTGTTTATCCCTTGTGCTCTGCTCCTGTGATATTTACATCTACGCTGAAGGGTTAGTGGTTGTTGAAAATA